GAATCGCCCCAACGCTCGGATCCCAACCGATCACCTGGGTTCCTTCAAAGTCGACGACACCATCCATGAACACGCGGAATGTCCGCACAATGAAGTTTTGGTTCGTCGTCCAGCGGCTACTCGTTTCAACCGTCACGTCATCTTCCGAGTCGTCTACCCACGTCCCAATCATCCATTGAAGCGGCTGCAAACGTTCGTAATGACTAGGGGCAGGTTCAGCAGGCGCGTCTTCCTTAACGCTATCGATTCGCCAGCCTTCTGCCGTTTTCACGTGAAAGGCTTCGTAAATCGTTTCGCTCGGCTCTTGCTCTGGTAGCAGAACGCGAGCCACTCCCGTTTCCGAGGCAACGTGCGGCGAAAGCAATTTGATTTGCGTATCCACTAGCTCCAACTTGACCCCGGCATTCTGTTCAAAGTACGCCGTAAAGTCTTCTTCCAGCGCCGCTCGTCCTTTCAAGACATCGCCAAATGGAGTTACAAACTCGCCATCAACGGTCCAGTGCTGGGCCAATGCTTTGGCATCTCCCTTGTTGAACGCCTCGGCGTACGACTCGATCGCCTTCAAAATGGCCGACTCGTCCTCGTTAAGCACGAATTCAATCTCAACGGTTGCCTCTCCCACGCTCAACGTTTCCGCATCCGCCGTCGGTTCCGGCTCTGGCATCGGCGAGCTTTCCCCGGCCGGAGCCTCAGGGGCAGCCGGAGGAGCAGGTTCTGTCTCTTGAGACCAACAAGGGCTCGTGAACATCAGTATCACGAGCAGTCCCGAAGCAATTCTTTTCATAAGGCACCTAAGCAGATGGGAAGAAACCAAGCGGTGTGCGTACCAAAGAGCGACAAGTCGTTGCCAAACATCATGGTGGCGAACTATCCGAGCGTCTCCTCATAACTTACCGCTCGCACGGAGCTCGTGCCACGTTCGCCTTAAATTTCGCCAATTTTTCACCCGGTTGCCTGCCTCTGGTCGTAGATCACCACAATGGCATCCCCCCAGATGCCCCAGCGTGCGATTTCCAGAGATCTTCTTTCTTTGGGATCTGCGGAGAATTATTCATCAGATCTCGTAAATTGGGGCTGATATATTCGTACTATGGACGCTCCCTCAGCCTCTCAATCCAATTCGACAGGGCTTTCGCCCGATTTCGCTCAGCACCTGATCGCTAGTCAGAGTGCCCTTTATGCGTTTATTGCCTCGTTGATGGGTGGGGTATCCGAGGCCAACGACGTCCTGCAGGAAACCAATTTGAAGCTTTGTAACAAAGCTGCCGACTACGATCCGACGCAGCCATTCCTACGATGGGCCTACGTCTTTGCCCGATTCGAGGTAATGGCCTGGAGGAAACGCCAGGCTCGATCTCGCTTGGTTCTCGACGACGAATTGGTCGCGGTAATTGCGTCCGACTGGGAAGGCAATGCCCAAGATGCGGCCCAGCAAATTACGGCATTGGAAGGCTGTTTGGAGAAACTACCGAAGAAGCAGCGAGATCTTCTCGACGCTCGTTACGGCCGCGGCGAGGCGGTTCAAGATATCGCCGCTCGGCAATGTCGCACCGAAAATGCCATGTCTGCATTGTTCTACCGCGTTCGCAAGTCGCTCGCGGACTGTATTGAATTGGCACTCCGCCGGGAGGCCTACGAATGAAAAACCTTTCTGAATTTGTCAATCTGTGCAACACAGTCCTCGAAGGCAACGCAACAGCTGCGCAATTGGAGCAACTGCGAGAGCTTCTTCATCGAGACGAAGCCTACCGTCACGCTTACCAGGAACAAGTCAAAGTCCACGCCTACCTGACATGGCAACATGGACGTGCTTCGATCAACGAGCCGATCGTCACGCCCCCAATCTCTACTTCGCCAGCGAAGCCTCGTAACTGGACCGCACCGATGCTCGGTCTGGCGTTGTCACTGCTGATTGTCGTCGGGGGCCTAACGACTTGGTGGCAATGGAATCTTGCTCGCGTTCCTCTCGTTGTGATCTCTTCAACCGATCCAACCTATGTCAAAGGCGCTAGAGTCTTTTTGGACTCGGTTCATCTGCGACAGGGAACGTTTCGATTTCGTCTCGATTCAGGGGCGGAAGTCGAAGCGGTTGGCCCCGTCGACTTCGAGTTGCTAAGCGATATGCATCTGCGGATTGTCCAAGGGAGTGTCACCGTGGATGTCGGAGACGACGCCATTGGCTTTCAAGTCGACACGGCAGAAGCCAATATCGTCGACCTTGGAACTCGGTTCGGCGTTTCGGTCTCTGACGCAGGGCAAACCGATGTGGTGGTGTTTGAAGGTGAAGTCGACGTTCATCCCCCCTCGGCGAAACCACAACCCAAAGACCGAATTGCCAACTTGAAGGAAGGGGAGGCGATCCGAATTGACAAGTCGAGCGTTCCAAAGCGGTTGACAAGTGTCGTGATTCGGGGCGACTGGAACGAGGTTCTGGAAGGGAGCAACCATCCTTCGCCGGTGATTGTTGATCTGACCGATAACGGCGTGCATAAGCAAGAGAATCGATGCTACAGCGTTCGGGCTGGCGGGCTTCGTCCCTCAACTCGAAGTTACGTAGGACTGGGACGACCAAAATGGGAGCCGATGCCCGGCCAGGCGTTTCCCGAAGATATGCTGGGAGCGGACGTGGTCCTGATGTATTCCCGCGATCGCTTCTATCCCCAGTTAGAGTACTATTTGCACGTCTCGGCACCGAGCCGCATTTTTGTCTGGCACGACAGTCGTCTTGCTACGCCAGATTGGCTGACCGACGAGTTCCAAAAGACCGACATGAAACTTCGCAGCAGCCCCTGGCACACCTCCAACGATATCGTCTCGAACTTGGACAATCTC